GCTCAAATTCTGTGGATGAAACAACAATTAGAGGATTATAGCATATATTTAAATGACATTCCATTAATGTGTGATAATACGAGTGCAATCAACTTAACAAAAAATCCGATAATGCACTCTAGGACTAAACATATTGAGATTAGACATCACTTTTTAAGAGATCATATCAGTGAAAGGAAACTGTAAGATAGAGTATGTAGACACTAAACGTCAATTAGCGAGATATATTTACTAAGCCTCTACCCAAGGATAGATTCTATGATCTTAGAAGAGACTTAGGGATACTAGAAATAGCTTAAATTCTGCTTAATTTGACTGTTTTTGGATGATTGTTATGATTAAATTCGTGATGCGGGATATTCATAGGTTATAATGTGCCAAAACCTTAAAAACTTGATATAGCCTCTGGAATAATCGATTACTTGGAAGTGATAATCGATTATTTTCCCTTAAAAACGCCCAAAACAGGGTATTCTCCTCTGGAATAATCGATTATTTACTGGAAATAATCGATTAAAGCTATCAGATATTGAAATAATCGATTATCTTGAAATATAATCGATTAAATGCTACCAGTTTTGCCTCTTAGCCGTTGCCAACGGATATTTTGCCATGAAATCCTTTCTATATGACCGTTGGAAGTGTTTTCTCTATAAATAGAGACATCTAGGTCAATTATACTCACTTCTAACTCTTGTAATCAAGTTTTCTTGAAATCTATACTCTCTTTGCTTCATTATTCCCTCACTTGTCTCCAAAATCTCTTCAAGTTTATCTACTCTTTCAAATGGCCTCATCCTCTCGCCCTAAGATTCCTACAAGAAGAAGATCTGCACCTTCTTCTCATTCCAGTCCTAATTACGTAGAAGGATGGATCTCCGATGCGAGATGGTCAACAAGAATTTCTAACCTACTTGGAAAGAAAAAGCTATTATTTCTCCCAAATTTCTTATAGGTGAGCAATTCATTCGTAGGGGTTTCAATTTTCCTAATCTTCTTGAAATTCAAGGAATTCTCCAGTTTATCCAAATGCAAGGTACATACTATCCGACTTAGTTAGGGTATTCTATTCTAGATTCAAGTTTAGGGATCAAATTGCTACATCCCGTGTAAAAGGGGTTACCATAATTCTAGATGATGATATTTGGGAAAATGTTGCTCACTTCCCCATTAGAGAAGATGCTATTAACGTTTATGGTGAGCTAGATGACTTTGACGAGTTCTTAGCTTATCGATCTTTTCGCGGAATCCTTCTCCGGAGGTTGGACGTATTCTTCATGCTTGGACCTTTAAAGAAGGAAGAACGCATGCTTCTACATTTACTTGTATGGATCTTATGTCCCGAGCTACGAATCATGCCCAATGCTCTTCCATTGATCTTCGAATTATTCATGCCATAATGAATAATGAACCTTTAGATTGGGGTGTTCTTGTCAAAATGACCATGCTTAAAGCAAAACGTCATCACACCTTCAAAATTCCATATGCACTTCTTGTATCCCGTATTCTTGAATATAAAGGAGTGAATGTTGAAGGTGAGCAAGCAGTTAGAACAAACAACTTAAACCGCATGTTGGACGACACATTGACTCAACTTCAAATGGTGCGTGTCAATGACATCTATGTTCACAAAGATGACGTTCAAAATCAAAGTGATGCAAATGAAGACTCCGATGAAGATATGCCTCCAGTCGATAATTTTCCCTCTAACCAAATCCAAAGTGTTGGAACATCCTCGTCTCATCAAGAAACAAGACAATCCATGGAAGATATGCTTTCAGACATGAATCAAAGAATGCAATCTTTCTTCAATCTTTCAGAGTACGCCATGATGAAATTATTCAGTCGCATATCCGATGTAGATGATAGAGTGGGTAGATTAGAAAATAGATTTGATACTCACTTTAATGATGAGGACGAGTTGAAGAATTTTAAATTACGTTATGTATTTTCTTTTGTTATTGTCTTGCTATTGTAATGGATAAATGATTATGAAATAAAATTTGATGTTTCTTTTATGCTATGATTGAGGGGGAGCTTTCTCTAACTTATGCATATTTTGAGGGGGAGCTCTTATGATTGATGTTGCAGAGTTCTTTTTGATTATAATCAAAATAGGGGAGAAAAATTTAAAGCCTATGATTCAATTTTAAATTTTATCTGGTATGTTTAATGTGTTTGTTAGTATGACGAGATAAAGCAGGTTATTACAAAGGGCTTTAAAAGAAAATTTTGATCATCATCAAAAAGGGGAGATTGTTGACAATTCAAGGACTTGATGTTGCACTTGATGAATATGAAGAATGGATTTTGATGATGATCCAAGAACTAAAGACTTAGAATATTGAAGATTGAAGATTGGTGATAATTGTATTGTAATAACTTCGATTTATTTAAGATTGAGTCTGTATTTTTAGAGTCTAAGATAGCCGGTACATAGTCACGTAACTTAGAAGCTTCAAAAAGCTCAAATTTATCATTCGAGCTCGGGTTTAATCGATTATATAGGTAAATAATCGATTAAAGCAGATGAGAAAACACTTTCTATACAAACTCACTGTTTTAATCGATTAAAACAGACAAAAGAATCGATTGTTTTGTACACTGTCAGTACTGAGATAATCGATTATTTCACCAAATAATCGATTATTCCGAGAGGGTTGGGTTACGAAGTATTTGGCTTCGTTTTAATCGATTATTACTCCAAATAATCGATTATTTCGATCTGTTTTTCAAATTAAATTTCAAATTAACCCTATTTTCGAAAACCCAATTACCAAGAACCCTAGTTTCGAAATCCTCAATTCCTAAACCCTAATTTCCCTACTTAAACTCTGCTTTAGCACTCGAAAAAAAGAACAACTAAAGAACAACTCTTTCCATACAAAAGTTAAGTGCTTGTGAGTGCCGGAGAACTGTTTGTTGCAAGGAAAGGGGCTTTTGGAAACTTCGGTGTGAGGCTAGAAGCGATAAGAATCACTAAGTGGAGTTCTTAGTGGATTGAGTGCTTTGTCAGTCTCCGGGAAAAGCTGTTCTTCGGGGCTTTTGGAAACTTGGTGTGAGGCTAGAAGCGATAAGAATCACTAAGTAGAGTTCTTAGTGGATTGTGTCTCTGTGCCGTCTCCGGGGAAAGTCTGTTTATCATCTCTTGTGGATTTCAAGAGAGGTTTTATCTTTAACTTTATCTTTTTCATTATAATTTGTGTTGTAACAACTTTGTTCTTAGTGACAGCGTTAATCCTCTTTTGAGTGATTAGTAACTGGACGTAGGGTCTTTTGATCCGATCCAGTATAAATCTACTGTGTAATCTACTCTACTCTTCTCTATTTACATTTACGCAGTTTTTAATCGGTAAAATTTGGGGAAAATTTTGAAAACCTAATTTTTATTAAGAAACCAATTCACCCCCCTCTTGGTTTTTGTCCGACCACGCGAACATTCCGCTGCGCGATTCTAACACATCTATTTTCTAATAAAAACTATTATTTTTTTAATTTTTTAAAATTGAGAGGATGGTTTTAAAAAATTAACCCTCCCCTATAAAATTATAATAATAAATATTAGACAAATCAATTATAATATATGAAGTCAGTATCGAGGGAGGTTCATATGAAAAATATTCTGAAATTTAACACAGTATAAAAAAAGAAAAATAATAATAATAATAATAATAATAATAATAATAATAATAATAATAATAATAATATAAATATAAATATTTATGAGAATGATTTGTAGATAATAAAATTGTCCTATCCATATGTTTTTTTACTTGAGTATTTTATATAGTAAATTATATATGTTTAATTATACACTACTGCCTAATATATTATGATATATAAAACTTTAAAATTATTGTAAATGTGAAAATATAAAATTATAATAGATAAATTTCATATTACTCATATAAAATTATTCATGGTATAAGATTTGATGATGAATCCAATCAAGGTAGTTAATTACCAAACCATTATTCTTCTTTTCCTCTATTTTTAACCTAAAAGATCAATTCAAAGTGGTAATGTCGTAATTCCATGAATCCTTCCATGTGCAACGGAGAAGTCGATGAATATATTATCAGATTTGGTGGGAGTTTAAGAGATTCAATATGTTGACATTGAAAAACTCGTAATTTTTGTATAAAAACACACATTTTGGAAAAAGGTCATGGAATTGCCCTAATTACAAGTTATGATTGTGTTTTTGTTGTTTATGTTATACACGCGTCTTCTTACCTTTTATTTAAATCAATTTTTTTTTTTTAGTAATTGTAAGCAAAACAAAATGGGTGTAACCTTTTAAATAGATATTGGAAGGGAAAGTAATAAAAAGAGTTTATGTTTCATATTCAACAATATATGCATATGTCATGTCCATTTCAGATGCATGAATTATGCTTTTGTTTTGAAAAATATGTTTCAACAATTAAAAAATAATAGTACTATTTATAAATTATTATTATATATTATTTAGAAAATATGACAAAAATTTGGGTGTAGATAGGATTGTGGGAATTTGGCATCAGAATTGAGATTGATGCACACCAAGATTAGATTCACAACAATGTTATCATTTCACAAAAAGTTGAAACCACTATCACCCTCAGTGGGATCTGAATCAGGGTGTCACCTTTCATTAAAATCCAAAATTCTTTGGGTCATAAACTTCACCATTAATCAAATCAATCTCTTTTCTAACTTCATCAATTACTTACAAATTACATAGAGCTATTATTTCAAACAAGGTTCAACATGATGGATGACAATATGATATGCATGCAGGAGAAAATTAATAAATGATTCCATTTTTATAATTTTTTAATATACAAGTCAATTTTTTTTTCAAATAAAAAACACAATTACTTGATACCTTATAAAGGTGATGAGTCAGATTCTCTTATAAATCTTAACTAAGATAAAACAGTAACTTGGAAACACAAGAAAACAAAACCCTGATTCACATTTCAAATTGCTCTTATATATGTCTTCAATTTGTTTGGTTAATTGTTAGATTTGAATGGAGGTTCATTGTTCACGTTAATAATGTGTGAAGAGATGTTGTTGGAATCAGATTTGTGATCAATGGAATCTGGATTTGCTTCAAGCATTGCACCCTTCAAAGGCAAGGGAATATCCTCCACCACTATATTCTCCACTTGTTCGTTGTGTTTTCCCCAAAGAACTGAGTACAACCCTATAACGATCAAGACGGCACCAAGCACACTGCACTCACGAGCCCCAAGTCAAATTCATTCTCCATCAACTTTAGTGCATGATTAGGTTAAAGATTTCACCAAAATAAGTTGAATTAAATATGTAACCGAAATACCATGAGCACTTAAATAATAACTTATATATATAAATATATTCTTTGTGGGTACAGAAAAGGTAGTAGTATTTTTAATTTTTCTTTTGGGGGACAGAAAACGTCGTAACAGATATGCTCTTTTGAATGTACAAGTATATATATGTTTTTAATATTGTTTATTTTTTTTAGGGAAAGGTTTTCCAATGATGAGTACATGGAAGGAAAAGGTTATAGAGATTATACCCTCCAAGAAAAATGTGTTCTGCAAGGATAAAGGAACCCATGATGGCTACAATGATCATCATGAGAGGGCTAAATGCAGTTGCGAAAACAGGTCCTTTCTTCTTAATTACCAATCCTTGGATGTAGTATGATAAGCTTGATGTAACAATCCCCTAATACAGAACAATTCAGATAATCATTTCACTAAGTTAATAAATATCACAGAAAGAAGCTTAATTAATAATTAAATAAGATAAACTACTGTTACAGTGGATCAATCATATTAGTTGTTATGGTATTTTCAAAATCATATATTTTGATGTGTTTTAGAAGTCAATGAATAATCTTACAGCATAGGCAGCAGCAAGTAAGTTCATATCCCAGCCAATTGTCCACACTGATGCCTTGTGTTCCATAACAAAAGTAACAGCAGTGGCTTGAATGGTGCCTATGAAGCAGATGAGTGAAGTGAGGCTCAGCTGGTGATTTTTGTAGGTTTCAATGGCTTTGGCCTGTCCAGCAAAAACATGAAAAATATGAACATATGATTAAGATTGTTTGTTGTTTGGTTTAATAGTAGGTGGTCTTACTTGTAAAACAAAGAGGGATGCCCAGGCAAGTGTGGCAATGATTAGGAGGATGGAGCCAATGAGCCAATCTCTGTCAGAAGGTGTTGAGGCATTTGTTGTTGCATTATTGGCTTGCCTCTGATGAAGGGCATGTTTGGTCCAAACCATCTCCACTACAGGTCCTTTGTACAAGGTCATCAACATGGCCCCACCCACAGTCACCAATGTTCCCACCACTTTTGCTTGGCACCTCACCTTCTTCATGTTGATCTTCTCCATCCTTTTCATTTATTATTAAAATCATCAATTAATCACCACTCCTCTCACATGAAGAAACCAGAAAAAAAAAAAAAAAAAAAAGTTATCTCTCTATTGGAATTATCTTATTCTTTTACCTGCATAAAACTGCCATCACAAAAGTCATTGCAGGAAGCACGTTGCTCATTGCACAAGAAAAGGTTGGTGATGTCAATTTCAACCCAGCATAGTAGAAGTTTTGATCAATCACAGGCCTGCGGATACCAACAGTATAGTAAACACTTCAATCTGTAACCAGCTTGTTCATTTATCAATGTATTAAGTTCTGTAAAGAAATAATATATACGTAACAATTATGGAACTAACCCAAGTAGAGCTAGGATGAAAATTTGCATGAAAATTGAGAATGTTATCCTTGGTTGAGCTTTCCTGTGGAAATTGAAACGATTTATCAGCATTAATTTTGCAATGCTTTTGAATTAACAAAGATGAAACATGCTATGAAATGCTACAAGGTGGTGTTTGTTCTGTGTACTACCAACCTTTCAAAGATGAAGGCAAATGGAGCTATGACAGCAGTGGCAAAGGCATGGCGATAAACAACAAGAACATAGTGGCTCATGCCACGGTTGAGGGAAACCTTGGTGATGATGTTCATGCCGGCATAGCCAAATTGCAAAGCAATCATGGCAAAGTGGTGTTTAGAGTTCTCAAGGAAGTTTGCACAACATCTAAGCTTGTGAGTGGTCATTTTGGTTGCTCTATTCTTTGGAGAATATGGAGAGCCTAGTTTTGATTAAAGGGTGGAAAGTGAAGAATAATGGGAAGAACAAGAATTGGAAGAATGAAGGTTTGTGTTTCTTGCTAGGGAATAATAGCATGAGAAGGCACCTTCTTTTATACCAACATGGAATCAATTGTCTACGTCATATGTTTGATTAAATGTTTAAAATTTCATGGCCTTTCTCTCTAGTGGGGTGGACGTAGGAATCCCTTTCATGGGGGCAGGTCAATACGCATACATTGGTGCTTGGATACAAACTTACCAAAATAAAGCAAATCCACTTTTAATCAAAATAATTAAGTTAATAAATTATATGCTTAATTAAAACCGACTCAAGTATAAATTTTTATCATATATTCATCTAAAAAAGTTGAAGGGTGTTAACAAATATTCCTAGAGTTTTTCAGATTACATCTACTTAGTGATTAACTTCACTTAGTGATTTTCCATCTTCTGAAACAAAATGAGAATATTCGCTGTGTTTCACAAAAAGTAAACCAATTAATAAAAGAGACGAACATCGACCAAACTTCCATGAATATTTTTAAAATAACAAGCTAAGTTCATTCATTGCAAAAAATGTATATCTCTCTTTAGAATATAATAATTTCGTTTCAAAATATTCCAGAGGGAATTTGATGAGCATTTAGTTTACGATTCTTTCCAGACTTTGAGTCAATTAATTACCCTTTTCTATTCATTTTTTTTAAGTGACCCACTTCTCACAAAACTAGTGGAGGTTACCCTATAATACACTTTATTTAAGTTCACAATAATTGATGGTATACTTTTTGTAACATAAGATTATTTAATTAATTTTAACATTAATATTTGTAAATTTTATTTAGAAGATAAGAAGGGTGAGATCATGTTTCAATGTGACTTAAGTATCTCCTAAATTAGATCTTAATTTTTATTTTATTTTATTTTTTTGGAAAGGATGTGGATCTTAAAAATTATTGTGTTGACTAATAAGTAGCCAAAACCATATCATAAAATGCATTTCACATAGAAGCGTGCATGATTAATCATTTAAATGTTAGATAAATTCTCATGTTGAAAATATTTTTTGTTTTAAAAATTTTATTTATCATGATTAACTGATTTAAAAAAGAAAATATATATAAATTATTTTTCACATCCACTCTTAAACAATCTGAAAGACTTATGAGTGTCACCTTATCTAAGAATTAAAGGAAAAAATAATTTATATATACTATTTTTTTTAATCACTAAAATATTTTTTAAAAATAAAATTATAATGAATAAGATCACGGAAACAAACAACTCACATACAAATATTGATCTAATAATCTTATCGTAAGAATCAATCATTATTTTTATATTCTGAAATAATAAATATAGAATTGAGTTTTTATTGTTTCTGTTCTATAATCATCAATCTAAAATGTATTTTTATATGAATTAAGTGAATATTACATTTTAAAATGTATGTTTATAAGTCCTTAGTGAAAGCAACAAAGATGACTTATATATAATGAGTCATTCACCCACCAATGACTCGTACCAATACATTGTGTGTACAAAATAAAACCACAGAATCCACAGTTTAACCATAAATAAGAAATCAAAATGCAGGTCAACTGTTTGTTTTTTTGTCTCACAGAAATGATGTCACAGATTTATTAAGAACAATAGAAAAAAAGAGAGAGATAAGAACAAATAATGTAATCGTATCTTAAAAAGATAATTAGAAGTTTATATATATAGAAGCGTGAAATTCCCCAACAGAAGTTTGTGGAGTCTGATACACCTTCAAGTGGAGCACCAACATAACCAAATGACCATCTAATCATCTCCAATCATTGTTCATCATATGGTCCCAGCAAAATAGTGGAACCCTACGATCTTAGCCATGACCCTGTTAAGAGTTTTTCTTTTTTTAAAGGGTGTCTGTGTATTTCTTTTGGTTTGAACAAAAATGTAAATGATTTAGTGTCTCATTTTCAACCTTCAAAGCTGAAACATTGTAATTTTCTGTGACTTTCACGTAACATACATATAGGGTGAAAGCTGTTTACTGCTTTTTGAGTATAGAAAATAAGAAAACCAATTAGAAAATAGTAACAGATAATGAACTCAGTTAACTCTAGAAATAAGAGTTTTTAGTGTATAATTCTCACATTTTATGAATTAAATACATTAGTTTTGGAGTAAGATATCTGTATTTGAGTTGTGTGTGTGTGTGTCCAATATTCATCCAAAGAAGAAGAGGCAGACAAAAGTTTGATGTTGTGAATATGGTTGGCCACTGAAATGAAGGAGAGACCACAATTTCTGCGTATGTGTTGGAAGCCATGCTCACACTCCAAGAACAAACATATGCTTCTCATAATATTATACAAGTGAAAGTGAAATCTCCTTTTTCAGCATAGAATTTAAAAATAAGTTATTTTATTTATCAAACATAAGTACTTGCATGTTTATTTAATATTTTTTATCATGTTTTATATGTCAAATTTAGAAAGACTATGTAGCCTAGAAGAAGGTGCAATCCAAGAAGAAAATATTCTAGAAATGAAAATGGGTAACAACATATATTTCCCATTTTCTGCTGTAAAGGAGTTGGTAAGTGTTAAAAAAATTAAAAAAATAAAATATATTTTAGTTTTTTTATCTAATATTAATTACATTAATTTTAAATAATAATTATTTTATTATATTTTTATTTTATTTTAATAATTATACTCATCTTAATTTTTTAGTATATATTTTATTTATAATTTTTATTATTTTAATATTAATACTAATAAATTTATTATATTATAAAAGTATTATTTTATTAATTTTGATTGAATCTATTTAATTTTTAAATTTTAAATTTATATTTTTACCGGTTTACTAATCACTCCAATTTAAAAGTTTTATCTCCTTTCCCTTACAAGTATATCTATGAATAAATAAATAAATAAAAGTTTTGAAATTCTTTAGTTTAGATTATAGTTTCATTAATTAAAATTTTATACTGTGAAACTAATATATATTAGATTCACTACGATTGATAGCAATTTAACTATCATAGTTATTTTTTTCTAATGTTTCATGAAATTCATTATTCAAACAGGCAAGAAAGAAATACATTAGACTTCTAAATAATTTATAATTTAAATTGAATTAGATTAATTTTGTGATTGTCATTTTAGTCTTTATCACTTAAATAAATTTAGGTTAGATTATTCATAAGTTTATATTGATTATTTTATAAAATAATAATACTTTTTAAATAAAATAATTTTATTTTATTTTAAAATTATATATATATATATATATATATATATATATATATATATATATATATATATACTTATAAATTATAAGTAGTGATACTTAAAAATATATCAAACCAAAACCTATGAATTTCAACCAACTAAAATAGGAAAGATAAAGCACTTAAAAAAAAAAAATCATTTAAACTTTGAGTAACATTTCATTCCAACGAGATATTGACACATAGAATGATTTAGCAATAAGATAATTGCAGTACTAAGTTGATGAAAAAGAAAAGTAACATCAATAATGAGAATATATGTGAATGGTGATGACGATGATAATATAAAAGCTAACATTGGAAGGAACAATTCGTCTCATTTGTTTTCCAAGTATATATGAGTAAACAAGTATTGAGTTGAAGGGAAATCATGGTTTCCATGAGTGATGCATGTATAAATTATTCATGCTTCATAAATTAGGTGTATTGGCATAACTCCAAGCGAAATAAAGTACCTTTTATGAAATAAAGTTGTGGAAAATGCCAATTTTCCAAAACCCTAAAAAGCCTTCTATTATTGAACCACCATTAGTGTTGCAACAAAATTGAAAAGTTACGGTCAAAGATTCTTGTCTCCTCCTACGGGAAGTGAATCTAAAGGGGCTTCAACGTGCCAATGCATGCGATCTAACGAATTCTTAGGTTGGTCGATTACAAAAGACATTGAAGATTGTTGTGTTGTGTCTAATGTTTTCACTAATCACTTCAACACAAGTTGAGTAATTCATAAGCTATTTTAAGAAGTGTCTTAGCTTCGGTCAACAACAATACGTTTTATTTGGATTCAGTGAGTGTATTGGCTACAAATTTCAAGATAATAATAATGTTAATAGGTTGATATTTTATTCTATGTTATTTTACCAAAATAAACACTATAAAAAGTAATTTATTTATCTAAAAAATTTAGATAAGAATTCAAATTTTATAGGTAAATTACTATTTATCTTTATTTTTTATGAATTTATTGATAAACAAGAATGAAATATTTACATATAAATTTTATCAATAGAAAATTTTTGGGTCAAGACACGAGAATCATTTTTAAAGAATAATTTAAAAATTATACAAATTGTATTATATTTAGTTAAAGATTTATAAAAGTATTTAAATATTTTAGTTTTTTTTTATATTCTGATTAATTCTGCATAATAATCACAAACGGTTATATAAATAAGTTTGACATATTTTAATTTTAATAAGAAAATATATGTATATTTTAGAACTTTTCATGTTTTTTCATACAATTCTTTTACAAAAATAATTTAACAATTTTATAATAATAAAAATCGAAAAATCGATCACTCAATAACAAAATTAGACCATTTTTTTATGAAGAGAAATTTACATTATAAAAAAAAAACTCACTAAAATATAAATATTTGAAACTGTAGTTAAAAATTGAGTAGTAATATAATAAAACTGAATGAGCTATAGTTTAGGTTAAGGAAGGTTTAGAAAGGCTACACTATCCATAAATTTCCAAGTAATTAATTCATGCCATCGATTTCCTAAAGTGGTGTTCAACGTTCTGAGTCATCATCCATCACTATGATCCTACTTCAAACCCAACCCTTATCATCTCACCATTTTCTTCTCAAAAATTTTGAGTGTGTTGTTAGCCTTTTTTAGGTAATTTTATTCCAAGTCTTTGTTTTTCTTTTCATTGCTTCTTAATCAA